GAAATTATCCTTTTTTTTTTTTTTGTTTTTTTTTTTATAAATCTAATCGCCGCATCTTCATGCCGAACATAGCTGAGTAATGACCTTTCGCACCTCATCAAAAAATCTGAGTAATGCCATTCATTAATGAGGCACGGCGATTGGCTGTTGGCATTTCCTTTGAAACTTTGGCCAATCAGTAAAAATTTGTAGTGGAATGCAAGAGAGAGTGAACGTGTGCCTGCATTGGTGAAATTTTATACGTGACAAAGGAGAAGCAATGCTGGTCAAGAAAGAAAGGGGAAAGCAGGACTGAATTCTTTACATTGAAAGAGGTGTGAAGAGCAAGAGGGACAAACTACAGAACTAAAAAAAGAGTGAGTGAGGAAAGAAGGGATGTTTGAGCTGTTGGTAATCCCTTGAGAAACATGAAGCCGCTGTGTGGTTTGGTCATCAGTAGATCAGATGACCTATCAAAGATCAGGACAGCCACTGGCGACTTGCCTCTTTCTTCTCTCTTCCCTTATCTGCAATTGACTGTCAGTTCTAACCCCCAAGATTTCCATTCTCCACACCCTAGTAGACTTTCAGGTACTGTACACTTAGTAAATGGACTCAGTAGAGTGTTGGGCCTACCCTTTATGAGGAAATGTCACCAAGCCTCTAATGATCCCACTTCAACTTAGGGTTAGGGTTTGTTTAAAGGGGTCATATGATGCTTTTTTAAAGATCATTATTTTGTGTATTTGGTGTAACAGAATATGTTGACATGCTTTAATGTGAAAACTTGAAATCGCATCATATGACCCCTTTAAAGTATTAAACTTAAATCAGACTTTTGATTTTCGCCTGGCAAATGAAAAACCAAATGAAAGGGATTTGTTTATTCATGCATTTATTTATGCATTGATTGACTGATTGTCATTTAGATTACACTGTAAAAAAAAATTATGTAAATATACAGTAAAAAAAACGGCAGTTGTGATTGCCAGAATTTTACCATAAAAAATACGGTAGCAACATTTTAGGTTTTACGGTTTTAACTTAAATTTACATTTAAATACCATCATTTCATTAACTGATATAATGTTAATATACCAATCTATTGAAGTAATGAAATCTGTTTTGTACCTTTGTAATACACTGATAACCAGCAGGTGGTGATGAGAAAGTCACATGATTGAACCAAAGCCCATCACAAGTAGCTTTTAAATATTAACATATATAGAAGGTGCACAGTGTCATTCACACAAACACTAAACAACATTATGGTAACACACATGAAACTGAAATAATGCAATAAACATTAATTTAACAACATTAAATGTAACATACAACCCTACAAAAGTGATAAGAAAAAACTAAGAAGAAACATAGTTATTTCAACAAAAAACATCAAATTTGAAATGTAACGCAGGGAATTCTGGGAATCTCAGTTTACGGTTATTCACTGCAAATTATACGTTCTTTTTCACTTCCAAAAAAGGTATACTACCGTAAAATTAGCTACATGTAATGTCCAATACAGTTTTCATCATATATAGTGGGGGAACTTACCGTTAACCATTTAATGGGTTTTTACCGTAGCATTTTTAGTCTTTTACTGTTAAATTCACAGTCATTTTTTACAATGAACTATTAATCAAAGCTCATTTACCTTTACTCTATAAAAACAAATATTTTAATAACTGTTAATTGTACACTACCGTTTAAAAGTTTTGGGTCAGTAAGAGATTTATTTCAAAAACAATAAAAATCCTACTGACATAACATTTTGAACGCTAGTGTAAATTTGAGAAAATATAATATTTCCCATTTTCCATGATGTGCATTATAATGTTGTGATGCCTTAATTTACTTGTAGCCTTTAAAATGATTGTTAGTTTTTAGTGTTTTATCTATAATTTATTTCAACAAAATAGTGTAGAATTTTAATATTGGTCATTTATCATCCATCAGCTGTAATTTTAATATCCGTGCAACCCAAATGTCAGTTGTATAGCAAATGTTTCTCTTTTTTCATCTTCTTGTAGAGCGAAAGCAAAGATGGAGGCAGCAATTAAAACCGTGGTGAGTGTGTTCCTGAAGTCATCCAAGGGCAAGGAAAACCTCGGAGGGAAGGAGTTCCAGAGCCTCGTGAAGGGCCAGCTAAAAAACATTCTGACGGTTAGAAGCTGCGTTTTGTTAAATCTAGCAACTCTTTGTTTGATATTCATTCATCATTCAGTTACCATATTCGTCAAAGATCTTTCAGTACACTCGTTTTTTCCATGGCTACAGGTTGGCCCTGGTCTATTTCTTTTTCGAGTAGTTCCTTATTATCTGGACTTTGATGAGCTAAGCAGAAACCACAAAGTTGTGTCCAAATAGTAATTTAGCATGAAGAATGCTGCTGTGTTATTTGCTCCGGTGCCACATTAAATTACAGAGGAAAACTTTTAGTGTTGCTCATTCATCTCACACTGTTTGGGCTGCTGACATGAATGATAACTCAAATCGTGCAGTTTCTTGTGGAGAAGTGCATTATTAATGTTCAAAACAATAATTTTGCCTGGCAGACCATAACCGGGTCTGTAAACTTGCTATAGATTTACATATTTAAACAGCTGAATCATCGACGACAACATGGTAAAAAACACGTAAAAACACCTCGACATTGTGATGGCAGGTTATTCATGAGCAAAAACCACTTACTTTTATTTCAGGAAGTTGTTAGAATCTAGTTTATATTGGACATTGTATCACCATGAGCGGTTTATTCCATTTCAGTGTGAAATGACAATCAATACAAGCTGCAAACTTGTTTCATTAGAGATTAACATGTGAGGAACTTTGTGTTTAGGGCTCAGAGGACAATGAGGCAGTAAAAAACATGCGTCAACAGCTTGACAACAACGAGGATGGGAAGGTCAGCTTCCAGGAGTATATGAATCTGATTGGCTATCTGGCGCAGGCTGTCAGCGAACAGCGTTCTTTGGAAAAAGAAACACAACCAGAGAGTTCAACCCAGGAGACGCAGGCTGAGGCGGCAGCCAATGCACAGGCAGAGCCGGCAGCCAATGCACAGGCAGAGCCGCTGAAGGCAGAGCCACAGGCGGCAAAGGAGGTGGAGAAAGAAGACGAGCCAGTGATTGAGGAGGCAGCGGCCGAAGAGCAGAAGCCAGAGGAAGAGAAAAAAACAGATGTGGAACAGGAAGGGGCGAAAGTTGAAGAGAATAAAGCTGAAGAGAAGAATAAAACAGAGGAAGCATCGTAGGAGCTCGAGGAAGTGGAGATTGTCGCATCTCAAATGCTTCTGTGTTTGTTTTGTTCGTCATTTTCATTATTGTGATATTTGAATACATATATATGAAACCTGGCCAATACACTACAATTTTTTTTTTACTGCAAAGAGCCGTAACCCTCTCATTACAGTTTTTTTTTTTTTTTTACAATGCTAGGACACATTTCTCAATACTTTTCAAAACTCTTCACACTGTTCTCCTTACCAACTTTCAGCTTGGCACCTCCAAAATGCACTAAAAACACCAAAACACTTAATATCATTACACCAGTTAAGGTTGTCGCCCAACAAACACCCTTTAGGGCTTTTCACACTTGAAATAGTTAACCCTGAATCATTCTGTAAGCGTTCTTATTTGCAGTGTCATTTAATGAATGAATGAACACAGAACGCAACCTGATTACACAACAGCTCTAGCATTAGGCAACCTCGTATTGCAGACTGTACATTTTCTGAATGGACTTTTCAGTGGACTATAAAAGTAAAAATAAAACAGTCTCTTCTTCACTCCAATTTACGGGTTTTCCGTCACCATTTGACAATTTCCCCCTTAAACGTTGAAACGACATGTTACGCACGTCGTATCCAAAGCACAAGAATACGAGGTACGACACGATCGCTAACCGTTTCGTTTCACACGGTACACGTTTGCCACATAGTGCTAGCGGTTTATAACACCAGGTTAAAAGTAGCGCAAACCCTCATATATTACAAGTGTGAAATGCACCATTACCCAGGGTTAAAAACACGATATAAAACGACGTTAACCCGAGGTTAATCGCAGTGTGAAAAGCCCTTTTGTCACTCATAAAACAACGACCTAGAAACCAACAAGAGATGTAGCATTTTTTCTGTTTTCCTATGTAAAATTACTTTACAAACAAGAATGACACCTCTTTACTGTTTAGAATTCACTGCAGTAGCCTATTACATGGTCCATGTTAACATTGCAGTATAAAATTATAAGTTTTGTAGACGAATAAAATGAAAGACTAACACCTGTTTAGGTGTTTAGCTAGGCTACCTAATTGTTTTGATAGTATCTAATATATTTGGAATATATTTAAATATAATATTACTGTAGAAGTGTAGCAAATTGCTGTCTTTCTGTTTTGTATTATGTCAAGTTTTGAACTCAAGTTCAAAAGTTTTGAAAAAAAAGTATGTAAATGTGCAAATTGACCTTTAGGTACATTTAATTTTGGTGGTGGTTGTGTTTGCGTGAGAAAGTAGTTAATGTAATATGAGAGATGTTTAGTCATTAAATGCATTTTGTGCCAAAGCAATGGAAAATGATTGCAGTTTAGTCCACATAGACTGCTGTCATTTACAATGTGAAGAAAAAGTGAACTATTGAGAAATGGGTCCTAGCAATTGTAAAAAACTGTAATACTAATTTCTGTTTGTATGCACATCAGTTCATGCCTGTGATTTATTATGTACTAATAGTGTATAGAAATTGGCAATAGCCGCAAATGTGACAAATGGCCAAAGAGGTGCAATAACTAATCACTATGTCCTTTTGTTTGAGCCAGATTTGTTGTAAGGGTACTGCAACCACTGTGTCCCCTCCAATATCTCTACAAATCATCCATGAATGAAGAACAGACACCGTTTTTTATAGCATAAATGTTGAAAAAGACGCATAATTTTTAAGTGTCCATTATGTTTACTTTTTGTTTGTGCCACCTCCTAAGGACAGGGTTACTTAGTCGACTCTGGTGCTAGTCGTAAATGTACTATGTATTTTCCAGTATTGCAGAAGCATAAAAAGAGCAAAATTTTCACCTCTCTTTTGTTTGATGAAATGCCAATCTGCAGGAAATTAACATACTGCATCACCATTTAAATGTGGGACTTGCATTTGTGGCGCACATGGGAACACTATGCAGTCCACATACTTTGTTGTTCACATTTCTGGGCCTTGTTTGCATGAGAATAAACAAATTTGCTTTTGAATAATGCAGTTTTATGGCATGCTTTCTGGCTTGTTTACTTGGATCTAACTCTCTCTGACACCCTGCATTAGCTGGTCTTTCTTTTAGACTTTCACATGCTGTCCATCTTAGTGCTTTGTCTCAAGAGCTGGAATATCAGATGCTTAGTGTGCTTATGATAGCTGACGCTCAATAATTAAATGCCTTTGGGATGGAATCCACACCAGGGGACCCTTGTGGCCCCGCAGGAGCCCCAAGTCATCCCAAAGTATCAGTTCACTATAAGGCAGTTAGGCCCCAAAGACCTTTACATTCACATAGGCATTCATTCCCTTAAACTTAACTATATTTGCCTGCATATATTTAGGTGTATTTTGTTTGTTCTTTTTGTAATGTTTTGATCTCTTAAGTGTGTGTGGAGTGTTTTAATAGCTTTGTTAAATTTTAAGTCTCTTAAAGACCATATTTACAGCAGGACTGACCGGTTTCACTTATATTTTGTTCTTTTAAACACATTTGGTCACAACTAGTGCGTGTTAGTATTTCTTTAATGCATAGATGGATGGATGTATAGATAGATAGATTTGAATGCATTCTGATTCAAACTAGCTGGAAATATATTACTAACATCAATATAATATTCCATCATGTATTGACTGTTGCATATGATTTGTGCTAGAAAACCCTGTAACAAAAGTCTGTTGAGGAACCTTACCTTAATGTTCTTTAATTTTTTACTAATCAATGATTCAATGAATTTTGATATAGCAGCTACGGTAAATATGTAACTTGTTCTTGTTTGTCATGAAATGTCTATGAAAGCCATAACACACAAGAAGAAGAGACAAATGCACAGGTATTTTCACCATTAAGCCATTATCTAGCAGCTTACATAATACATTATACATGCTACATTATGCATTATACAGATATATATTGCCTACATCAGTGTGAAATTCTACGCTGCCTAAAAAGCGCTCATTTAGATCATGCTAATGAGCTCTCGTTTAGCTCATGCTGTCATGTATATCCTGGCCATCTAAAACCTCTGTTTACTTTGGTGTGTCCGACTCCACAACAGCCGTGTCTGGTGTTACTAGACCCCACTATATTAACATTATAGCATCATCAAACATCATGACGTTTGGCTAACATTCTTTGACCACATGTTGTTTGTATACTGTTGATATATATTCGACAAGCATTGACTTTCAAACTTGATGTTAATTAAGTTTTGTCAGTCAAAAATGGAAGTCGTTAGCAGCTCTACCTTGGGAGGTGATTGCTAGGCCTCACTACATTAGCATTATAGTGTCATCACATCTTATTAAGTTTGGCTAACATTCATGTTTTGACCACATGTTGAAAATGGTATTGATGTCTATTAGAAAAGCCAGTAGCATGAACATGTTGCTGTTGACTTTCTAGCTTGATGTTAAGCCAAAATGCAGTAGTTTACAGCTCTTCTTAGGTAACATAAAACCTCTTCTGTCTTTTAAACGAATGCACGAGCATTTCATTAAGTGCACATAGCTCAATGTAACCAACTGACCACATACACAGCCTTAATTTTCTATGCTGTACGATTGACCATCTCCATCTACCCAACAATAAAGGACTGTAATGCAAACTCCACTGGCCTGTAGAGTCTTCTTGTGTAGAGTCAACTGGCATGACGGGGTCAAATGGCCCTTATATTGGCAGGTGAACTAAAGGAGGAGAGTACGGGAGGGGTGCCGAAACTGAAGATGCGGGAGATGCTCTTGAGAAAGGAGGGGGCCGGCTGAGTGATATTTAAACCCCAGAGGTTCTCTCTCTCTCCTCATCTGTTCCTCAGCTCTCCGACTGTCTATCATTATCTCCTGTGCTTCATCACAGACAAAGGAATCTCTCCGTAGGCATTCAGGTAAGACAGACAACTGAGACGAGAGAAAGGACTCCTTTCTCTCCAAGCAGAAAGCTTATGAATGCTCTTCTGGATTGGATTATCTACTGATAACTTTTTTGGTAGTCTTTATTCGAATATCTGTCCATAGGTCAGTGCTACCATTACTTTTGTGTGAAGTTCTCATGGGATATGGATATAACCTATATGAATGTGTATAGCCTTCAAAGTTAAATTAAGTCAAATTGAAACATATGTATATTATTTATATTTCATACAGACTTTTAAACCTTCACATATACATATAGGGTGAATTAAGATAAATTGGGACAGGTTTTGCCATTGTGATAATATACATATACACACAAACACACACACACACACACACACACACACACACACATATATATATATATATATTACTAGGAGTAGTCTTGGACTAGGACCAAGCTGAATACAGGTAAAGTGAAAAAAACGTTTATTTTAAAATATAGCCATATACAAATACAATCCAAACGGTTTAGAATATAATTTAAATATCATTTGAATAAACATCTCTGAACATGTCTACTACTCTATACAGAAAATTCAAGCACTGAAGTGTCCAACTTTACCTGTATTCACCGAACTACACGCCTGTCCTGAATATATGGTTTTGTCTTTGATTTTCATTAATGTAAATGTATTTTTTGGGTCTGTATTATTGGATGAGTTAGATTTAGATTTGAAAGAGTTTGTTTTTATGTAAATAAATTAATCTCTTCTTCTTTACATGTCAAAGAACGGTCAGTTTCCTTAGTGTCACTGGGTCACTTGGTGTTACATTTCCATTCTCATCTTAGTTGCCATCGCGTCAGAGTGTCCATTCTATACTGTTCCGATATTGCTAATGAGATTGTGCTTCTGTTTTCTTATGCCCTACAAAAAATGTGCCATAATTTCACCTTTCATCTTAATTTTTCAAATTGTCTTGCATTTAAATAGTTTATTGCTGTTCTTCCTTATTGGCGCTTTGTCCTAAAATGCTTCCAGTTTAACTTTTTTAATGCCTTTGTGGGACATTAAACCATTCTGACCTTTCTAGTTAGTGTCCATTTCATGAACAATGGTTTTTGGTTTTAGTACCCGAGAGCTGTAGTTCACCGTTTTTTGTTCCAAATCCGCATGTCACCATTTGAGCTTCCTAATTAGGCACTCTCTTAGGTTAACTAATTAGTTAAATTAGATGGTGTAGTACTTCAAATAAAGAGCTGAGCACGGAGGCCTCATTAGAGTAACCCTGTCCAAAGTTGCAATTCAATTATGTTGCTAATTATAGTACAGAAATGTAGGGAAAAGGGCAACAAACATGAATTTTACTATTTCATTGATCTTATTTCATTACTTTTAAATTTATAATTGATTAAAGGAGTAATTCCCGTAATTGATTAATACTGTCTTATCCTCCAGCTGTTTTTCTTTTTGCTTCATTTTGCAATATTCATGATTATACAGTCTACAGGACTCTAAACTTTGGCCTCTATCCTCAAAATTAACTAATGGAGTTGCTTTAGGATAATTTCAGGTGTGTATTGTGTGTGTGTGTCTTCATGAGAGCCTCGGATTACTTGGACGAAGGTTCCCTTGGGAACTTGCCCATAGTTTTATCTTCATTTTGACAGTTTTATGTTTCACTTGCGGTTTCCATTTGAGAGATGCGGCCCCTGTTACATGAGCAACAGATGATTTAGATGTGAGCAGAGAAGCGTTCACATACAACTAATGAGCGTTCGAAGAAACACAGAGTTGTGTAACGCTAACAGTTGATATAATCACGCATTGGGTGAGAATGACAGTTTATAATTCCATCTAAATGTCTCTCATAAAGTGCCAAACCTGTTGTATCACAATACTTAGAGGTTTAACGTTACCTCTTTGTGTAACTTTTGAACTATGTTAAGTTGGTTAAGCCATAAAAACACTGAGGCAAATCATTCAGCCTTCCATCAATGCTTCTTTTCATGGCCAAATTCTGTTCATGCTCCAGTCTTTCTCATCTTCTGTTGTGCCTCATCAATGACTGTGTCTGTTTCTACATGCGCAGTAGCTCGCTGAACCCGGAGAGAGAAGATCCAAGATGCCACGCTCAAAGTGTGACATGTAAGAATGTTGCTTTTTGAGTGACAAACCCCTAATCAGAATTTACCTCTGAATCAAATAAACCCCTCAAATAGTAAGGATATTATCTCAAACAAATGCTTGAGAGAACATTTCACATTTTGTTTTCACCCATAGTCCAAAACGTGTTTGTGCCAGAATTAATTGAGCCAAAGCTCCGCCCATGCTAGTCATGTGACCATACATGCAGCAGGGTCTAGCGAGGGGCGTGCCATGTTGTTGTATCTAACCTTTGACCTTTTTAACCACCTTACAGCATGTCCAAAGAGCCAAGCTCCAACTTGGAAAGCGCCATGCAGATGCTCATCAAGACCTTTCATAAGTATTCCGGGAAGGAAGGAGATAAATACACGCTCAGCCGAGGAGAACTAAGGGAACTTCTGACGGAGGAGCTGGGAAATTATCTTGGGGTGAGAAGAAAGCATATGCAAAATGACAACATTTTTGCAACCTCTTTTGGTTTCACAAAGAAGATATTAAATAAAAAAAGAGTAGAGATGTAACGATTAACTGCGAGCCGGTTGAAAATCGATTCAAATATGTGACGATTCAAATCGGTTGAGATGCTAAACAAATCGCGATTCATTTAGGTGTAGGAGTTTATATGAATGCATGTCTGAGGGGAACTTACTGTCTTTAGAAAAGTTTAGATGGTATTTTTTCTTTTCATCTTGCCTCTGTATAATGCATATTAAAGTTCATCAAAAGAGCAATAATATGCAAGTGCTATATTAGTATATTATTATAGTGTTATATTTCAATTTCACAAAGAAATGTGCAGCATTTTGTCCAAGCAATAATAAAAGGACACATTTATAATTGGTCTTAAATCTCATTTTGTTAAAAAATAATCGTGAAATCAAAATCATGAATCGAATCGAATCGTGAGTTGAGTGAATCTTTACATCCCTAAAAAAGAGGGTGTGGCTTGATCCTATTCATCGGGAGTTGATTGGACAATGCGAAGTTTGGAAGGGAGGGATTAAAAAAAATAAGGATTTGTAATGTCAGCCAAAAATGATAAAGACAAACATGTTTTATTTGGATTAATAAGCACATTGTAAACAATAAGACCAGGAACATGCATTAAGAAAGTAAATAGTAAATAAATAAATAAAAATGACTTGATAAAATCAATGATGTAAATTTAATAATGGAACAAAGTATTTATCTTAGATTTTTTTTTTCACATTCCCTCCCACATTTTGTTAAAATCTTTCCACATAAATTCCTCAGAACTTCTGCAAAAAAAAAAAGATTTAAATACCTGCTATCTGCCATACATACATTTCAGCCAAAACAAATATGACAACCTGTAACGCAAGCTCAGGTTTGCATCTTCTGTAAGCTACAGAAATGCCTATTTGATAAGGGTTTACTGATTCAGTGACCCTGTAATTATGTCTCATGCAAATATCTTGTATGTGGATC